GGCTCAAGTGGTTAAGACACTGAACTGCAGGCTGTGGAAAGTCAGTAGTTCAGCGGTTCAAGACCAAAGTTGCCGCGTGACGGAGTGGGCTCCCGTCTCTAGTTCCAGCTCCTGCCAACCTAGCCGTTCGAAAGCAAGACATTGCAAGGAGATAAATAGGTACCACTTCGGTGGGAAGGTAACAGCATTCCGTGCACCTTGGTGTTGAGTCATGCCGGCCACATGACCACGGAGATGTCTTCGGACAGCGCTGGCCCTTCGGCTTTGAAACAGATATGAGCACCGCAACCCTAGAGTCGGACTCGACTGGCTTTCGAGCAAGGGAACCTTTACCTTTTTAATAGGGCAGGGACCAAACGGCTAGCCCTAGTGATCGGAGTTTGTCTTGTCACCCCAGCTGCTATCGGGACACGCGCGGGTCACCTCACTGCAAACCCCACCTCTCTCTGAACCGGTGCCATGCCGAAAAGCTGTTTTTGCCACCAGCGTCCAAACTGCTCTAATCAGCTTGCTTTGCCGGGATTATGGAACAGGATTGCCCGTCTGCGTCTCTGTGGACGGAGTCTGGTTACCACACAACCCGCTTTCTGTTGTGTTCCTTTTTTGGAACAATGTCTGGCAGTCAATTCCTCCACGCTCTGGGGATAATAGGGATCGGGTACTTGTGGGTTTTTTAGGGGTCGTGGTGGCTCAGTGGTTAAGACGCTTAGCTGCAGGCCGGAAGGTCGGTAGTCCAGCAGTTCGAGTGCCGCGTGACGGAGTGAGCCCCAACTCTGGCCCCAACTCCTGCCATCCTCGCAGTTCGAAAGCAAGGAATTGCAAGTAGATAAATAGGTACTGCTTCGGTGGGAAGGGAACAGTGTTCCGTGCGCCTCGGTGTTTAGTCATGCCGGTCACATGGCCACGTAGACGTCTTCGGACAGCGCTGGCTTTTTGGCCTGGAAACAGAGAGGAGCACCGCCCCCTAGAGTTGGCTTTGACTGGCTTTTGAGCAAGGGAAACCTTTACCTTTACCTTACTTGTGGGTTTGGAGCCGAAAGCTCTTTTAATTGTGAATGCAACCCTACAGAATCCCCCATGGACACTGCACCGCCTTGATACCTAAGGTTGCCGGGCCGTAACCTGGTGACAATCCATCCTACCTCGTAAATGCTCCGCCAACTAGAAGAAGAAGCGATTGGATTTATACCCCGCCCTTCACAACCCAAAGGTGTCTCAGAGCGGCTGACAAACTCCTTTCCCTTCCCCTCCCCACAACAGACACCCGTGAGGTCAGTGGGGCTGAGAGAGCTCTTGAAAGAAACTGCTCTTTTTCAAGAACAGCTCTTATCAGAACTACGGCTTGCCCAAGGTCATCCAGCCAGGTGCAAGTGGAAGAGTGGGGAATCAAACCCGGTTCTCCCAGATTAGAGTCCGCGCACTTAGCAGAGAACAGCTCTGAGAGAACTTGTGACTGACCCAAGGTCATCTGGCCAGGTGCAAGTGGAGGAATGGGGGAATCAAACCCGGTTTTCCCAGATTAGAGTCCGCGCACTCAACCACTACCCCAAACTGGTAAGAGAGTTAAGTCAGTTTCTCTGCCGGTTGTCAGGTCCCCCTTGACCACCAGAGGGGGGAGTAGGGGTATGTGGTTGCCAGCTCCAGGTTGGGAAACTCCTGGAGATTTGGGGGTGGACCTTGGGGAGGACAGGGCCCTCGGTGGGGTACGATGCCGCGGAGTCCACCCTCCAAAGCAGCCATTTCCTCCAGGGGGGCTGATCTCTGCAGTCTGGCAATGAGCTGGAATTCCAGGGGACCCCCCCAGGCCCCATCTGGAGGCACAGTGTTCCCTCTAAGCTGAGTTAGTGTGAGCCAGCTCACAGTTGTTTAGCCTCCGGCGCACACCTTTTGGCCTTGGCTCAGGAAGGAGGGCTCCAGAGCAAAGCGATCGAATG